CTTTCGTAAGGAATACCGAATAGGGTATTATTGGTTCCGGCAGGCGGTGATGTAACTCCTGGGGTTCGACCTCCTGCCGTATGAAGGGATGTATCTGAAGGATTCGAGTCCGGCATATCTGTACTCAGAGCACTCCCACCACGAGGAATGCTGAGTGGAGATGTTCCTCCCACTGACTCTCTCCGCTTCGAGGTTAGGTCAGGAAGAGAGGCAGGGCTCTCTGACCGAGTCCAACCATCTCTTTCTGCATTTAGCGAATGCCTATTCCGCGACTTTCTTGTGTTGGAATCTAAACCGATCCCAAATGGAGAAAGCGGAGTTGCGAAAGCAGTTGGTGAAGATGTAAATTCCTGCTCGCCATCGCCAGGCGAATTGGCAATCCTGTTGTGTCGTGCAGGAGGAACCTTCCAACAGTTGATTGTGGAGCTGGCGGTTGCTGTCCATACAAACTGATCATCGAGGACCACCAAGTTATTGATGCCTTCTGTTCCGATACTTTCTTTGGACGGTGTCTCTTTGCAGAGTAGAACACATTCTCCTTCTGATAAGGACGCACAACCATCCATATCGACACGGCAGACGTTTCCAGCTCGGTCTCCTGAGTAGAAGATTGAAAGAGACGGGTGAGATGAGTACATGGACCAGACCGAATCGGTATGATGTGCAAACGTGTGGATACACCGATTCGATGAGGCCAATGACCAGAGTTTGATTGAGGCATCCGCTGATCCAGTAAGAAGCTAAATAGAGGTGAGACTGATGCGAGGTTTTGATGCATAATACTTACATAACGACCGTCTTGAGAAATCAAAATGCTTCTGATATTGTCGGTATGTCCGACCAATTTTCCTGTACGTTTACCGCTGCGAGAGTCCCACAATCGAACTACTCTTTCTGGTCCTCCAGAGGCGAGGAATGAACCGGTGGTATCCGTTGCCAAAGCATACACAGATGACTTGGCGTTATTGGCCTCTGAAGGCAACAAGGCACGTATTGGCTCTTGACGCTTGCTAGAAAGATCCCAGAGCTTAATTGTTCGATCAAAAGAGCCGGAGGCGACCCAGTTCTGGTGCTTTGACTGGGCTAAGCATCGAACATAATCGCTGTGTCGACCAAGAATGACCGGATCTGCAGAGCTGGACGGGTCATGAGGACTCCACGCTTTCACAGTTCCATCCGAAGAGCATGATACGACTAGAAAGTGCTTAGTGTAGATCAACAGATCAAATGAGGGATACTTACTGGTTCGGTTAAAGTTGCATAAAAGTATATCATTAACCCAGTCGGAGTGACTTTGTACTGATTGTCGAAATGATAATTTCTATGTTTGTTTCAGATTGTTTGTCGACCAACCTATGGGATTGCACTCACCAGCGATGACTCTCCTGAGGAAGTGTCCATTTCCCATGCATTTTCAAACGGCAATTCGGATGAATTAGTGGCTCTTTTATCTTCATCATCAGTCTCCTCGTCGGTTTCGTTCCAACCGGTGATTGCTTCCCAACTATTGACTTTGCCTTTCCCTTCTGGGGTGGTCCCATATGCCCTTGAGCGTTGCCTTAAACTTACACCAAGCTCATGTGCAATAATTTGCCCGTCTCTTCCTCCAGAATATAGGATACCTTCCGGAGTATTCTTGCCGAGCAACTTGGTCGACGTATCAAGCGCAAACGAAGACACTCCTAGTCGATGCTTTGGGTGCATTCTTTCCGACGCATGTGATGGCTGTGTTCGAGTTATGGAGTCGTTTTCCTCTTCGTGGCCAGTCGAGATGATAAGGGGCGTGGTGCTTCCATGGCGGTCGGCTCCCAAATGTGGTAATGATAGACGAGGAACATTGTACGTTGCAGGAGGTATCACATAGGATATTCTCCGAGCTGGTGGGCTAGAGCTCATTCAAGCTTTGTTGTCGCCTTCTTAATGGCTAACCACAAGCGTAATGGTGGGAATGACCGCTCTGCCACCACTACACTCCCTGCCTCTCCGATTTGAACCGCACTCACATCAGCAAAGTCTTTCCAAAAACACATAAAAATGATTGAAACTCTGTATAGACTGGAATTTGTGACCATTAGAAGAACACCAAACAACCAAACGCCCAAAAAGGATCAGGTTTCCATGCATATATTCCTTCGACGTCACAAGGTCGCCTTCCTCGACCTTTGAGTAACCCCCACTTCTTCATATCCTCCGAATTATATTATGTCCCCTCATCGTCGTATCTAGAGAGTTGAAACGCTCTACCTAGGCGTCCTGGACAATATTTCAGTTGGTCGCCAAGACTTCCTCAACGAAGTCTGACCTCGACCTTCTATAGACTCAAGTCATTAAAGGGACTGCCTAGTTCAATTTAAAGCAAACTTACACATTTTCTATGAGAAGGGAACAATCGATGACAACCACCTTTCCCTTATTGTTCAGATATGCAATGCGATTGGTCCCTGTGACCATTGGACGAGGGATTTCGTCGACGTCAGGTAATCCTAATATCATATACTTGCCATAATGTAATTGGTTACCCATCATATAAAGTGCAGCCACGTTGACCCCTTTTCCGTTTGAAGGGTTCCAAAACAAAGGGGCCGTTCTGTCATGCTCCGGATCAAACATCAGTGAGAATATGTTTTGTTCGTTGACTCTGATAGTTTGTGAGGAGATTGGGGCCTCGTCGGGCCTGGGTAATGGACCACTGACTCCATTGAGTTGTGGGCTGTCATCAGATATCTTCACGTGAAAAACTGACGAAACGATGATTCCCCCTTCCTCCCAAAAACCGGTCGTTGCAGCACATATAGAGCATCCATTTGATCCAAAGCCAAACCCAACGAATGAACTATCGAAATCCGGGCTAGTCGCCAGGCTGCATCTTTTAGTTATAACGGAAGTACGACCTGCCTCTACGATTGTGATATTATATCTATCCAGGATTACTATGAATCGTTCTGATGGAGATACACCAACTTGTTTGACTTTGTTGCATGGTGGAATAGTGCGAATACATCGGGGAGCTCCATGACCTACACGCCAAGAAATTAATGAGCCATTTTCTTGGATCATTAGGACCTGCTTTGATCTAGGGAACAGAGTGGCGGCTACGAGCTTCCCTGATATTGGTGGAGAGGTGGACCGGGCCGTTTCCATGTCCACAAAGTATAGTCTATGAGCGTCCCAAATAATTGCGGTCGACGAATCTGGCGCAAACTCTATGTAATGGTCCTCTTCTAACTTGAACGGACACTCGCTTTCCACGCGTACCGGCCTTTTGAGGTTGCTTCCCTGCAAGTAAGCTTGGTTGTACGTGTTCGTATCATGGCGGGGCACTTGGAAAAAATGCAGTGTATTGAAAAACAGGTTGGCAATTGTTAGGGCAACATCACCTGTCCCCATTAATTCAGCAATGCTTGCCAAAACGGCTGCCCAGACGGCCGTCAAAGTAGCTGCCAAAGCGGCTGCGTCACTGCTGCATTTTCTCCCAATACCCCGTTGTGTATGTGTCGTCAAAAGATAAAGACCATCAGAAGATAGAGAAAACTTTGAGACTTCTGGTAACTCTCCAGTGACGCATTCATTATGCTCTTGATTTGACTGTGGAAAACGGAATGTAATAGAATCGCTGGTGAAGATCGGTAGAACTGAGGATTTATCCGTATAATCTTCAACCTCACGAATTCCTGTAGACTCCAGTTGGATCGCACCTCGGTTGATATATTCTCGAATTATGGCTCCTATGCCTTTCTTTTCTGAATCTTTATATCGTGCAAAGAGACCGTACCCGTTGAAATAGGTAGGTGACAATAGGTCTGCCGTGCTTGTGCTCAGAATAGATAATAGGACAGAATCCGGTGGAATCTTAGCCTCATGATCCGCTGAAAGATCATTTGAGCTTCCTAGGCCACTGCCTTCATCTGTAGCAGCCCACTCTTCATCTTGCTCTGAACGGTAGCCAAAATTATGACCCGTTATATTAAGTAGAGGTTTTTTCCATACTAGATCCCCAGTTTTCGCAGACATAAAGCAAATAGAAGTTCTAGAACCGTAGATAATATATTGGGCATCCGGTGAGAAGTGAAGGGACAGTAGGTCGCAGGACTTGATAGGGGGTGATCTACTGAACAATTTCTGACCTGAAAGAGTATCCCAGACTCTGATTTCCGACCCCCAGTAGGCAATACTATGCCCCCCTTGCGGTGAAAAGATCCATATACATCCGTGGAATGTAGCTATCCCTCTTTTGTTTGTTATGAACCCTGGGATTGTGCCAAGTTCCTGGGTCATGTCAGATAGACCTCGAACTGAAATGCAGCACCTCCTCGGAGAACCAAGTGGATATTCGGTATCAACTAGAATCATAGAAAGGGCTTTGTTCCCATCGTCTGCCCACAATTGCACTTCGCGGCCAGTTGACCAGGGCGGGTTCTCACTCATTTCCAGGTGATTATTGGATATCTCCCAAATATAAAGCCACCCGCATGCACATCCTGTTCGCAACTCGTTTCCTTCGTGAAATGATACATGAATGACCTCACAGTCACGAGTTCCGCAGGGGTGTGGTGAAGTGACACCGTCAGCAGAATCCAGGCTCCAGAGGGATACAATAGCTACTCCGTCTTCGCTTCCTCCTGCTGCGGCTACTGCATCGAATTGTGAACATCGAAAGACTTTGATCTTATGTGTCTTTACGACAACATCGGAAGACCAGTTCTTCTGAGTTCCAATTGTCACTATTGCATGTGGAAACGATCTAGAATTCACATAGATTCGGTGAAAGATAGAAGATGTCGGTGTAAAAGAGATCAAGTTGTAAACGTAGAGGGGATTTGATCGAAAGTAGCTCCGATAAAGCTTCGAGTAACGTCGAGTGTCGGTGGAATAAGCTGTTATTCTACGGCTCTACTTGGTGTCAACGAGCATTCGTGACGAAAAAGATTGTAGCCTACCAATTTGGCCTGCGCAAGTCTGGAGAGCAACAAACCAGTAATCTCAGATGAATTCATACAATAAATTATATAAAGCCAATCTAAGAGCTTTGTCCTGAAGAAATCCTTGATCGAACCGCCCAATCGGCGGCCATACTTGGATGCTTTGAGGACATGGTAAATCCAACTAATGCAGGAATACTGCAGACCAGGTGAGAGGCGAGAAAGATCAATCTTGCGGGGCCCTTTCTTGCGATATACGCAGTCTAAGAGCCTATAAGTGTCGTATTCGAGATGTTTCTTCATAACAGTAAGGCATTTCTTGCTCATAAAGTAATGTGCACGAGCAAAATCGATTTCTTCGGTTAGCAAGAACTCGCGGAATGTGGAATGTAGGAATCGTATCGGCTGATCTGGGCCACGGCATTCCAGTACACTTCCTAACCTGCTAACGACTTTCATTGAATACCTAGCCTCTAGTAAATCATCGACAGTATTTGGGGAGATAGGTATGTAAGCCACGACAATTAGCTTGAGCACGTTGAAGTAGGCTGCTTCACATGTTTCTACTGGATCCTTCCCTAAGGCCCGGGAAAGTACAATATGGTAAATGGTGTCCATCTTGGGGATCGATTGAGAAAGTATAACATGAAGAAGTTCTGTTGGATCGCAGGGCTCCTGGAATAGGCTGCAGACCGTACTGGCCCAAATGAACAATCCATCTGCCCGCGTAATCAGGGCGTCGATTTGTTCCCCCTCCAGACCTTGATCATGTAACTGCTGTCGCATATAGCATTCAACATCATGACAATTCGAAGCGCGGTCTTCACGAAGAGACATTCTCTGTGGGGAGTGGTCTTTTAGTAATAATCCCTCAATATGCGGTTCAGGCCTGCTGGCCACGAATAGTTTGAGATGAGGAAGGTGAGTTAGTTGCTGTAGCAGAATGCCCAGAAGCTTTTGTCCGGTGTGAGGCTCGCATTCGTCAAAGGCATCAAGAACAAGGATTGTGGGCTGCTCAAAGGCCTCAAGTGGCTCGGTAAAAATAGCACAGCATTGTTCCTCTAGAGTAGCTGATACTGGATCGGAGATTTTATGGATGCCCTTCACTACAGCAGTTTGAGTTTTTGAACTGAGGCGAGACACTCCTTGCTGAGCAATTGTACTAAAGAAATATTTAGCTGTTTGTGTTTCCTCCACATCTCTCGAGAAGAAGAAGCATCCAGCAAAGCCACTTTCCTCCTTCCACGCTTCAACCAATTGTTTTGCTACGGTCGACTTTCCTGCTCCAGCCACATCGCATAGCCAAAGGATTTGGGGGGCATCGTTAGCGTGCTTCCATTCGTTTATTTCTTGTAGGATTTGGAGACGAGTCCCTTCCATGCAAATGCCATGGATGTCTCCATTTGCTGATACCGTCTTGAGACTTCTGATTGCCGAGTATTCCTCTATGTATCCCATGTTAGAAGATCACATGATTAGATTCACAGCTTACCGTTGACTCGGTTGACTTCGATGGTTCTTTGTGCCAATTTCATCTGTACGCGATTTCTCAATAGGCCTTTTAACACAGGATCTAAAGTACACCTACCATAAAATCATCGTACCAGTACCTTAGTTCTTGATCTATAGACTTGATGTCTTCTCCACTCTTAGCGGAAATTTTCCGCCACTTCCGTTTGCTCTTCGGGATAGGAGATATGTCCATCTTCTCTAAGATCTCTTGTAACCGCCTATAAGCATATAATAAATAAAATTTACTCGGCACTTGTAAGAAATAAATACCCTCGGTAAGTATTCGCCAGGTCACGCAAACCGTCGCTGCTCTCTAGTTCCGTGAGCTCCTTGATCCGCTGTTGGATGCATTGTCTTAACAGATCCTGGTGACGCTTCTGCATTCTCTCTGCCTTTTGGGCATTTAGTCGCTGGGTATACAAAGGCCAGTCTCGTTACTTACCTGAACAGCCTCTAGCACTCGGATCAACTCGACCGCTACCGCCTTCAACGGTGCTAGGAAAGGGCTCACTTGCGTTGCTTCTTTCATTATCTTTGCCCCCATTATCGTTGTATCGACAGCATTGGCGAGCTTTTCGGATTCGTCGGCCTTCCTCGACATAGAGGCTCCAAAGAAAGTCGACATATCAGTGTCAAGGTGTTTTTATTTCGCTACAATAGCTCGAACAGAGTCTCCTAAGATACGGTGGATGTAGTAAGGAGGAAGATATAGATGCTGGATCCGGTCTCCAAAAATCAACCGTTCTCCAGGTGTCCAGTGATCGGAAATAGAGACCCTACACCTTAGCCAATGAGAACTTGAGGCGTCTTGATCATGTAGACTTCTTCATTTAAATAAAAATAAAAATGAACATTTGTGGCCTCATTGAATACAACGATTTGTCTTATTGGAAACTTGAGATAGGCGGCCTATTGTGGCTCTCACCACTTGCTCTCGACCTCTACAGTCAACCAGTCACTTCACTCCATTCGCTATCAATTCTATCATAATTCCTCTTAATTTCAGTCACGGCCAATAATGACTTCAACCCCTCGACAAACAAGAATTCCGTTTGGAACTTCGTTCACCAATCTTCCTAGCCCCAAACCATCGACCCCTTTTGCACAGAATTCACTCAAGCAGGATCAAAGTCAAAGACCAAACCATAAGAACAGGAAAGCACTTTCAAAAGCTCATGAAACCTGTTCATTAAGCCAATCGACGTCCCTGCATTTACACCAAGAAAAGGTTCCGCGTCAACAAGCATTAATAGTACTTCCTACTATTACAGAAGAGAAAGAGAACCGACAGAATGGTCACCAAAACTCCATCATTTCCAATGCGGGTTCAAGCAACTTGTCCGCCCCTCATTGGAACGGTTTTTCAACTAAGAAGAATTCCCGACGAGTAGTCACTATCTCATCAGACGAGACCATATACTCAACTTCATCTTCTTACTCTTCTTCCCTCTCATCCTCATCTGGAACGTCGGCCTTCTCTATGGATAGCGACCCCTCTCTCGCTCCCCTATTTTGTGGGCCTCCTTCGGATGAAATGACTATTGTTCCGCCTTCTGGTTTAACAGAAATGGAAGAAAGGTGTATGATCGAAGCGTATGATATTCCAAACTCTCCCGAGGACGATGGAGATGCTGACGACGAGGACTGTGACGCTATCATCGGTCGTGGTGTGCTTGTACCTGCTGCAGTATTTCTCCCAGACCCTTCTGCCAATGCCAATCGCGACGCTAGCTCTATTAAGCTTGTAAAGATAATCGAAGAAGGCGAAGAGGTCCATTCCACAGAAATTCCTGAAAGATCTCATCCAATAGTCAAGTCACTCTCCACACGTTCAAGGGAGGCCCAGCTCGCTCGAATTTATGAAACGCGCCCAGTAACAACTTCCCTCCTTTCCTTCACAGACGACACTCCTATGGCAGTGAAGCGTCGTGTTCACCCCAAACGGATGTGGCAGGCGAGATACGGGCCAGTGGAATCTGATGCACTTCGAAAAGAATCCTGCGAGCGTCGCCGTTTACTCCAATCCGGCTTAAGGTTTCTACCGGCTTTCCCACCTTTGTCTAACGAGCCAAATTTATTGCTCTTTCCACGTGCTGGTAGTCTCCATCAACTACATTCTCCAGAATCAAACGGCAGTCTAGAGGATTATGCTCTGGGATATGTGGATCTCAGCTTCATTCGCAAGTCTCTCTATGCATTCGACCTACGCATGCGTACTGGGACCGACTTGTGGTCGGACGAGGAGGTGGACGTACATCAATTGTTTGGTGACAACAGACAATGGGAGATGGATTGGAACATAAGATGGAGAGTCGCGTATTGGCTATTGCAGGATGACGACGAAGACGAAGAGTACGAGGACGAAGAGACGCCGGAAAACTAATATAGTGTATTCTAAACTTTCTTGTATTTCTTGGGGTATTGTTATATTACAGCCGCAAATCAAGGACGAACGTCAAAAGAATCGAGTTTGGTGTTGGAGGGATAAATTGGCTCGATACAATTGCTCTTATTGAAGCGGATTAGGGGGAAAGAAGATGCAATGGATGATACCCCTTTCGAAGCTAATCCAAGCTGAAGAGGAATGCTTTCCATTCCTCGAGATAGGCCAAAACCTAGAGTACGCCGACTCTGCCACCTGCATTTTTACTCGGACGCGGCCCCCAACGGGGTCACACTGAGGTCTAATCTGCTCCTGAACATCCTTATACGAGTGAAAAGACATATTTTGGTCGTTTTTTGCATCCATAGAGATAGATTCGAGCTGTCAGGTCAGTCTTCTGGATAAATCACGACCGGTATCTCTCTATACAGCTAACGGTCAAGATTTATTCCACCTCCTCCTTCTTCTGAATAGATAATAATCTCATTTGAATATCCCTAAGACATTCGTACCTCCTTTCCCGTCTCATAGGCTTTCCAGGACTTGATCAGAAGCTCTCCTGTCGACTTAAACGACGGCTCTTTGTCATTTTGATCTATCATCAATTATGCCAAACTATCTTTCGTTCTCAGAGGGTGATCAAACATCGACTTCATTTGATACATCCGCATCCGGTGACCAAACTTTCCTCGATAATATTTCGATAAATCAAGCAGACAGGTAAGCAGCTAGTTGGTCCCATGTATATTGGTATTTACTCTCTGCTAGGCCGAGATTGCGCGTGCCAAGCCTCAAAGGAGCCAGCCACTTCTTGGGAAGAAG